AGTCTCCTTACCCACATTTTCCAAATGTTAACATTTTACCCTGTTTTTCTTCCTTTTATTTCTCTATTAAATAAATATTATTTTGCCATGTTCCTCTTGAAAAGCTTCATTTGGAAAAAGGAGGGTGTGATGGCGGGGGGAGATGACCTCAACAGGAAAGGAAGAGTGAGAAGGGGATTGGTGTGATAGCTGAGTGCTTGCTAATCTTTTTGGATTTGTGGAACCCTGTGGTTGTTTTATTTTGTAATTATAGTGAACTTTATATTGAAATACAGCATACTCCTTGAGATAATTAAATAGTTCCAAAGTTAATAATTACTATGTTAGAAGGATGAATTGTCATATGTGTAGAATGGTATGAGAGTTTTTTTAAAAAAAGGCAATTAAAAAAGCAAAAAGATTTGTGAATAGTGCAAGAATTAAAACAGAATCAAGAACAAAAAATAAGAATCTGGTCATCTGCATGCAAACAGTTGACCTGAAGAAGAAAGACAGCAGGATGAAACTTAAAGTGATTACTCAGAGGAACAAAGGATTTTAGAAGTCCCCAAAGATGGAAAATGAGACTTATAATAGAGCAGAGTAAAAGTGACAAGAATTTAAATAGATTATTATGTTCCTTTTAGATGTAGCCATAAAAGTCATATGTCTGTATCTATATGGTTGCAATTTCTTTTGGTAAGTTCTAGATATGCAGTGATGTATGTTATCACAATAGTCAAATTTCACATTTTTGTGTGGGTTTATACACATAAGGTTGTATACTCAACTTTTCAATATGGGTGGGTCAAAATTTAAAGTATATGTCCTTTGACCAAGCAATTATATCTTCAAGAATTTATTCTTTTTGTTTGGTTTTGTTTTTGTGGTTGTGGGGATCAAACCCAGGGCCTCATGTCAGGCAAGCGCTATACCACTGAGCCACATCACCAGTTCAAGAATTTATTCTTAAAAACAATTATCAAATAGTGTGTACAATTTTTAAATAAAGAAAATAAAGGGCTAGTTTTTTAATTCTGTTCTGAGATTAATCTCATTCTTTGTATAGAAGTTAAACTTGTATAAGGATTTTGAAATTTCAAGTTGTGGTAAAATCATATTGTGCATCCAAGCTCCAGAACTCTTTTCATCTTACAAAACTGAAATTTTGAACCCATGAAGCACCTCCTCATTTCCTCTTCCCCTCAGCCTCTGGCAACTACATTTCCACTTTGCTTAACTGTGATTTTTACTACTCTAACTACCTCATGTAAATGAAATTATATAGTATTTATTTTTGCCACTGGCTTATTTCACTGAGCAAAATGCCTTTTCCTCAAATCTCATCCAGGTTGTAGCAATGTGTCAGAATTTCCTTTTTTAAAAAATTAGTTTCAAATAGACTACTTTTTTTTGTTTGTTTGTTTCAGTAGTTCAAGTTTACAGCAAAATTGAATGGAAGATACAGAGATTTCTTTTATAATCCTTGCCCTCATACATGCATGGCTTTCCCCTCTATCAACTTACTGCACCAGAGAGGTGCATTTGTCCTGGTCGATGAGCCTAGATTTACACATCATTGTCACCAAATTCCAGAAGTATACATTAGGTGTTTACATTGGTGTTGTATGTTCTATGGGTTTGAACAAATGTATAATGATATGTATCTACTACCATGGTGTCATACAGAGTAGTTTTACTGCCTTCAAAATCCTCTGTGCTTTGCCTATTCATCCCTCTATTCCCCTTAATACCTGGAAATCACTGAACCTTTTACTGTCTGCATAATTTACCCTTTCTAGAAGGTCATATAGTTAAAATCATGTGTTATATAATCCTTTCAGATTGACTCCTTTTACCTGGTAATGTTAATTTAAGGTTTTTCTATGGCCTGATAGTTAATTTCTTTTTAGTGCCAAATAATAATTTCATAGTTTGGATCAACAACATTTTTCTATCTGTTCATTTACTGAAGGACATTGTGTTGCTTCCAGGTTTTGGCAATTGCAGATAAAACTGCTGTAAACATCAATGTGCAGATTTTTGTTTTCAATGTGCAGATTTAAGTTTTCAATTCCTTTGGGTAATACCAAGAACTATAATTGCTGGATCGTATAGTAAGAGTGTATTCAGTTTTGTAAGAAATGCCAAACTGTCTTTGAAAATGACTGTACCCAGCAATGAGTGACAATTCTTGATCCACATTCTGGATAGCATTTAGTGTTGCTAGTGATTTGGATTGTACCTATTCTAATAGGCATGTAGTGGTATCTTGTTTTAAATATCCAATTCCCTATTGACATATGATGTTGAAAATTTTTTTCTATGCTTATTTATCACTTGTATACCTTCTTTGAGATCTCTCTTCAGATTGGTTATTTTACTATTGTTGAGTTGTAAGAATTCTTTGTTTATTTTGGATAACAGTCCTTTATTAGATATGTCTTTTTACACATATTTTTCTCTAACCTATGAGCTTGCCTTCTCATTCTTTTGACAGTGTCTTACACAGAATAAATTTTTTTTTATTTTTCTGGTTTTATGTTCTGTTTTGTTTTTGGTACCAGGGATTGCATACAGGAGCACTTAACCACCGAGTCACATCCCCAGCCCTTTTTATTTTTTATTTTGAGATAGGGTCTCACTAAGTTGCTGAGAATGACTTTGAACTTTCAGTCCTCATGCCTCAGCCTCCTGAGTCACTGGGATTACAGGCATAACGTCACTGTGCCTGTCTAGAGTAAAAGTTTTTATTGTTTTGAAGTCCAGTTTCTCAATTCTTTCTTTTATGTATCCTGACTTTGGCATTGTATTTAAGAAGTCATTGCCATAAGTTATCTAGATTTTTTTTCCATATTATCATCTAGTCGTTTTATACTTAGGTACATGATCCATTTTGAGCTTATTTTTGTGAAGAATAGAAGATCTGGTTGGGCACAGTGGTTGGTGTCTATAGTCCCAGCTACTCAAGAGGCTGAAGCAGGGGATTCCTTGCACCTAGAAGTTCAAGGCAGCCTGGACAAGACTCCATCTTAAATAATTAATTAGAATAAGGTCTGTGTCTTGATTCGTTTTTTGATGTGAATGTATATGTGTTCTAGCACCCATTCATTGAAAAGACTAACTTTGTTGAAACTTCATATTGGCTTTGCCCCCCCTATAAAAAAAATCAGCTGACTGGGACTTGGGTTGTAGCTCAGTGGTAGAGTACATATCTAGCATATGTGAGGCTCTAGGTTCAATTCTCAGCACTGAATTTAATAAATAAAAAAAGTCCATCAACAACTAAAAAATATATTTTTTAAAAAATCAGTTGACTGTATTTATGCATGTCTATTTCTAGGCTCTCTGTTTTTGTTCCATTGAACTAATTGTTCTTTTGCCAGTACCATACTGTCCTGATTTCTGTTCTTAAAGTCAGATGGTGTCAATCCTCTTACTTTCTTGTTCTTCAGTATTCTGTTGGCTATTCTGGGTCTCCAGCCTCTCCGATAAACATTTGTATGTGTGTGTGTGTTGGTGGCAGCCCGGGGCGGGGTGGGGCGGGGTGAATATTGAACCCAGGGGTACTGTACCACTAAGCTATGTCCCCAGCCTTTTTGAGATAGGGTCTCGTTAAGTTGCTTAGAGCCTTACTAAATTGCTGAGAATTTGTGATCCTCCTGCCTCAGCCTCTCAAATCACGGAGATTACAGGTGTGTGCCACCATGCCTAGCCTCTCAGTATAAATTTTAACAGTTTGTTGATATCCACAATAGCTTGCTAAGATTTTGTTTGGGATTATGTTGAATTTAGAGATGAAGTTGAAAGAACTGACATGTTGATTGTCACATTCTGAGCAACAGTTTATTTACGGGTAACCAAACTGGTTGATAAGGGGATTAGGAAAAAAACAGACAGACACAAAAGTAAAGAAAAAGCTAGGGCTTTGCGATCCAGCCTGCTTCTGGTGGAGGAAGACTGACCACGAGCAAGCTTGCACGTTTACTATATAGGTTTAAACTTCAGAAGGATTTATTGTGAGAAAGCTGCTTCAAGATAAACAAAACCAGGGGCCGTGGTTGAGCACTTGCCTAGCGTGCACGAGGCACTGGGATCCATCCCTGGCACCACGTAAAAATAAAAACAACTAAAATACAGGTATTGAGTCTATCTACAACTTAAAAAAAAATTATAAGATAAACAACACTGAAGCTGAGGGTAAACACAGCCCAATTAGAACTCTACTTCCAGGCAGCAGACATTTGAACCCAAAGTTTTGAAATAATAAAACTCCTTGACTAGCAAAGAATTTCCCTTTGAACAGGGCATCACTAAATAACTGGGCAGTTTTCTATCAGGACCTTTGCACTGAGAAATTCCCTTGTCTCAAGAGACATGTTGCCTCTGTCTTTGGGCAGTTCAGAGACCCATAATTCATTTGTTACTCCTGATAATTGATAGTATTGAGTCTTCCTATCCATCAATATGGAATATCTATTTATTTAGTTGATTTCTTTCATCAGAGTTTTATAATTTTCCCTGTATAGATTTAGTACCTATTTTGTTAGATTCATACCTTAGGATTTCATTTTTTGTGGGTGTTAATATAAATAATATCATGTTTTAACTTCAAATTCCATTTGTTCATTGCTGCTGTATAGGAAAACATTGACTTTTGAATGTTCATTTTGTATCTTGCAACCTTGCTATAATTATTATTAGTTCCAGATTTTTGTTGATTGTCTTAAATTTTTTACATAGAAAAATATGCCATCCATTAACAGAAACGGTTTTGTTTCTTCCTTCCCAATCACGGTACTGTTTGTTTATGTATTGTCTTATTGCATTAACTAGCATTTCTAGGACAATGTTGGAAAAAGTATTGAGAGGAGACATCCTTATTTTTTTCTGACTTTAGTGGAAAAGCTTCTAGTTTCTCACCATTAAATATAATGTTAGCTGTAGGTTTTTTGTAGATGTCTTTTAACAAGTTGAGGAAGTTCCCCTTTATTCCTAATTTGCATTTTTTTTTTCCTTTTTAAGGCTGAATAATATGTGGTATGTATGTACCACATTTTGTTTCCCAATCACCCGTTGATGGACACTTGGGTAGCTTCTACCTTTTGGCTATTGTGAATAATGCTGCTATGAATATGAACATGGGTATACAAATCTCTCTTTGAGACCCTGCTTCCAATTCTTCTGGGTAAGTACCAGAAGTGGAATTGCTGAATTGTACGGTAGTTCTATTTTAAATTTTTTCAGGGACCAATATACAAAATATTATATGCAAGAATTCACGATGCTGATGTTTATAACATCAAAATTTTGGAAGCAGCCTTGCTTCATCAGTAGGTGATTGGTTACATAAATTACAGCACATCATACAATGACGTATTCTGTAGCTTTTTAAAAACAATAAGGTAGATCTATATAGTGATTTTTCAAAATTTATTTTTATTTATTTATTCGTTTATGTATTTATTTATTTATTTGCGTGTCTCACATGTATTAGGAAAGTGTTCTACCACGAGCCACAACCCCAGTCCCTCTATATAGTTTTAATGTGTTAAAATGTCCAGATATATTTTAATATGAGAAAGGTAAACAATATATATAATATGCACATTTTAATTTTAAATCTATATACATATATCTTGTGCTCATTTTTTTTTCAAGAATAATGAACTAGAAAGGGAAAGGAGATTGTAAGTACAGCAGGAGAGCAAACTTCGCTGCATTATAATTTACTGCTTCAGTTTAGGGTTTACAAGAAATGTAGCTTTGTAAGCAGAGAAGTCAATTTGAATAATTGTATGAGGGGGTTAACTCCCATTTTCTTTGAAATACAAAGAAAATGTTAAGTATTTCACTTATTTACAGTTTTTTTGTCCATAATGTCAAATGCTAGTCACTGGGATATTTTGTTTTGTTTTGCGTTTTGCATTACTAGGGACAGGTCCCTAGGACCTTGCATGTGTTAGGCAAATGCTCTGTCACTGAGTTACATCCCTGGCCCTTTTTATTTTTATTTTGAGACAAGATTTCACTAAGTTGTTCATGGTGGCCTCGAACTTGTGATCCTCCTGCCTCAGCCTCCTGAACAGCTGGGATGACAGGCAGGTACTATCATGCCTGGCAATTTTTGTTGTGTTCTAAAGTCTTTTTGTTATTTGTGTCAAGAATATTTGTTAGTTGTGACATGAGATATAAAATTATCATAGTGAATTTCCATCAAAATGGTTTCACATAAGGAAAACGTCCCTCCATTAAAAAAAATATATATTTATTTAGTTGTAGATAAACACACAGTATCTATTTATTTTTATGTGGTGCCGAGGATCGAACCCAGTGCCTCACATATTCAAGGCAAGCACTTTACCACAGCCCCAGACCCCCTCCATTTTTATGTTATATTTGAATAGTGCTTTCTGTTTCCCGTGGCTTGGTGTGATGAGGTAAGTAGTAAAATCAGGCTTGTCAAAGTCCTTTTGTTCTTGGAGAAAGTGTCAATCTTTTTCTTAGTTTAGGAATTGTGCTACATTACACACTGAATTCTGTTTTTTTGTTTTGTTTTGTTTTTCTTTTATTCTGGCAGTAGATCTTCATGGAGGAACACGGAGTGACTCAAACTGAACACATGGCTACCATAGAAGCCCATGCAGTGGCCCAACAAGTACAACAGGTCCACGTGGCTACTTACACTGAACACAGTATGCTAAGTGCTGATGAAGACTCCCCTTCTTCTCCCGAGGACACCTCTTATGATGATTCAGATATTCTCAACTCAACAGCGGCTGATGAGGTTACAGCCCATCTGGCTGCTGCAGGTAATATTTGGACTGGGTTTTTTTTTTTTTTTTTTTTTCCTTTGCTTGTGGTACCATTCTTATCTGAAAGATTTAGGATCAAGGCAGGCACTCTCACATTTATCTTCATCACAATTTTTTTTTTTAGCGGTGCTGGGGATCAAACCCAGGGCTTCACGTATGCTAGGTAAGTAGTCTACCACAATTTTTTAAGCCTTGCATATAATTACTGGGACTTGATCTACAGTCATTTACTATTAATGTATGACTTTGGTTTTATTGTCTTATCCCATTCTGAAGGTCTTTGGTACCAGGGATTGAACCCAGGGGCGCCTAACAACCACTGAGCCACATCTCGAGCCCTTTCATTATATTTTATTTAATCAGAGTCCCACTGAGTTGCTTAAGCCCTGGATAAGTTGCTGAGGCTGGCTTTGACTCACAATCCTGCTTCTGTCTCCCAAGCCACTGGGATTACAGCTGTGTGCCACTAGGCCTGGCTCTCTTTTGGCTTTTAACAGAAGTATTTATTCCATTTATATTAAATGTAAGAACTGATATATTTAGATTTAAATTTGTCATCTTGGGGCAAGGGATGTAGCTCAATGGTAGAGTGTATGCTTAACATGCTCGAGGTCCTAGGTTCAATCCCCAATACCAAATAAATAAGTAAATTTATTATTTTTTATTTAACATTAAATCTTTAATAATTTGTCTATGTAAACCTTTAAAAAATAAATAATTTCTTCACCTATTTATTTGACATATTTACTACATGTTTTATCTTTGCTCACCTGTTATATTTACCTTTCTGTTTTTTGAGTGATTGAAAAGTTTTCTTTCTTTATTTTTCTTGTTAATTTGGAAGATATATATGCCTTTGCTATTGATGATTCCCCTTGAAATTAAATCATACATCATTCATTTATCAGAGTCTTATATACTTGGTACTTTTGTCCTTCATGGGGATATAATTTCATTCCTGTGTTCCTGTCTTATGCTATTATTATCTGGTGTATTCATTCATTGAATATTTTAAACCCCACAAGATATTGTTTTATACATAGTTGATATTCACTTTTTCTATGTCTCCAGCTGCCTTATGAGATCATTTTTCTTTTGCCCCAAGGACATCATGTAATACTTCATTTAGTATGGATCTACTAGTAGCATATTCTGCTTTAGCTTATCTGGGAACGCTTTTATTTATCCTTCAACTTTGAAGGATATTTTCTCTAGGTATGAAATTCTAGATTGGTGGTTATATTCTTTTCTAATATTAAAGATAGTGTTCTACTGTCTTTTTTTTTTTTGAGAAGTGTTAAATATTCTTTATTTAATATCATACATAAACCACACTAAAATGCCTTTCCATAAGGAAACAACAGCATTTTAGATACAGGGAATTCTAATTAAATGGGCATGGTCAACAAAAATATAAAGTAGACACTGCTTCCTTATCTTCAACCACTGCCTTTAATAGGCTAATGAACACCAATTGAAACAAATGTGAATCATGCTTGGTTCTGAGAGAGTGAAGTGATTTCACCCATATTTTAAACATATTCACATAATCAGTTCTATAAAACTAAATATAAAGCCAGTTTTCAGATGTCATTCACCATTTTTGTGAAATACTGAACATTACTAATTAAGTCCAACCACAACTTTAAAAAGGGGAAACAGTGATAGAATTTACTGAAGTGGGAATATAACCAAAATATTAATTTAACTACAAGTCAGTTTTACTTAAATCAGGATTGTCCAACAAAAATAATTTTGTCAGTCATTCATGATCTGATTTCTGGTGTATCACATCAATTAAATTATGGTGCACATAAAAAAGCCAAGAGACATTTCTGTTTTGTACTAAATAAGGCAGTAGCTATTCCTCATTAGTGGCTTTTTTGAGGTAAGCTATTAGGTCTGCCCTTTCTCCCTTCTTCTTAATGCCAGTGAAGATCATTTTTGTTCCAGGGATGTACTTTTTGGGATTCTCCAAATACTCCATCAGTGTATCCTCTCCCCAGGTGATGCCTTTGTTCTTGTTGGCATCTGTATAAGAGAATCCAGCAGCCTGACCTGTCTTCCGCCCAAACAGTCCATGGAGATTTGGCCCAGTCTTGTGCTTGCCTCCCTTTTCCACCGTGTGGCACTGGGCACACTTCTGAACAAAAATCTTCTTGCCTTTCTTGTCGCTAGTGCAAAGAAGGTTCCCGATCAGAAGCTGAATGTCCCACTCTCTCGCGCGTTCTATTGTCTTTTGGGTCCCATTGTTGCTATTGAGAATCCAACTGTTTCTAATATCTACTAATTCTTTGAAGGTTATCTCCCATATTGGTGCCTCCCTACTAACTGTTTTTAAGATTTTCTGTCTTTAGTTTTGTGATGTATCTGGCTCTGATTTCTTCTCTTTAGGATTCTTTAGATATCTTGAATCTCAATTCTGAGAAATCTGAGCCATTACATTTTGTTTATGATTCATTCCATCTCTTTGCCTTTATGACTCCAATTATATTCGTTAGTCTCCCTCACTGAATCCTTCATGTCTCTTGCCTTTTGTTCTGTCTGTACCATTCTTTTGTCTTTTGATGCTTCATTCTGTGTAGTTTGTTCTGTCTTTTAATTTATTAATTTTTTTCTTAGCTGTATCTAAAATGCTTTTAAATCTGTTCACTGAATAACTAATTTTGATAATTGTTAGTGGTTTGGGCTGTTTTTTTTTTTTTTTCCCCCTCTCTCCCTAGTTTTAGATGTTTATTTATTCACAGTGCTAGGGATCAAACCCAGGGCTTTGTGCCTAGGCAAGTACTATACCACTGAGTTACATCCCGAGCCCTAGAATTTCTAGTGTGTGTTTTTCCCTTACAAATCTGCACTGTTGCAGTTTCTAGTTGTGGTGGTGGTAGTGGAGGGGAGTATTCTTAAATCCCCTTGAATAAAGTAAACACGATTTTACAATTTATCTGGTAATTCAACTTTCTGCAGTACTTATGGATCTCTGTTGTATGCTATTTAATGCCATTTCTTGTTTATGTTGGCTTGTCTCTTCATATACTAGTTATGTTTGAATGCATGCTGGATGATGTTTTTGGAAACTTATTTTTAGAAATAAATTTTGGGTCTAGGATAATGTTAATTTCCTTTTGAGATTTTTTTTTTTTTGCGGGGGGAGTGGGGGGTTGGAGTATTAGGGATTGAACCCAGGGACACTTTACCACTAAGCCACATTCCCAGCCCTTTGAATTTTTTATTTTGAGACAGGGCCTCATTAAGTTGCTTAGGGCATTGCTAAGTTGCTGAGGATAATCTTGAATTCTCAATCCTCCTGTCTCAGCCTCCCAAGTCTCTGGGATTAGAGTCTCTGCACCCAGCTCACAATGATTTTTGTTTGCTTCTGCCAAATATCTGAGGGCAGTGGGAATCCTGGATCATCTTAATCCAGTTTAAGATTTTGAGACTTTCTAGAGTACTAAGTGACTTAAAGCTGGGCTGTATTTTATATTATTCTATTTATATTGTAATAGCACCATAAAAACTATGCCTAGATGGGTCTAGTGTTATATAAAGAATAAATACCTTAGAAGATATTTAGGAAAAGCTGGACAGGAAATCAGTGATCAGGAGTGGCAAAAATACTATCTTTATAAATGAATGCTGTATTTAAGGGGAAGGAGACGGATACAATGAAGAATGAGTAATCTTATATTTTCGGTTATTATCTAATGTGTTAATTCTGGAATAGTGATTTAAAAATAAGGCTTAGAGCTGGGGATATAGCTCAGTGGTAAAGCACTTGCCCAGTATGCATGAGACCCTGGATTTGAACCCTGGCACTCCCACCCCCACCCCCAAAAGGCTTAGTGGTGTAACAGATGAGATGTTTAACATATGTTTTGTGAAATTCATACACTTCCCAGAAGAGGGCATCCTAACACAGTGAATTTAAGTCAATGTTTTTCCTATAAAGGAAGATACTGCGTTGTCATAGTGTTAAGATCAGAAAAGGTGGCTGGCATGTAGCTCAGTGGGCATGCTTATCTAGCATGCATATTCCCTAAGTTCAATTCCTAGCACTGCATTAAAAAAAAAAAAAAAAAAAAAACTTAGGATAAGTATTGTAGTTTAACCCTTTCACGTGACATGTGTGGAAACTGAGGGAAAAAAGATTTAGTGTTAACAATAATTATTGAAGAACTATTACTAGAAGACAGGCAAGAACTTGCTCCCAAGAAAGCTCTCAGTCTAGTGGTGGAGGAGGGATACAAATAGTAAAGTGATATAATTTCAGTGAACATTGAATGCTCTGAAGAAAATAACAAGGTAAAGTAATGGTGAGAGAAGGTGGGCTAGTGAGTGGTTGGAGAACGTTCTCTGGAGATGGTTGTCATTGACAGGCAGTTAAGTATCAACAAAGGAAAGGGCATTTCAGACTGAGGAAATAACCAGAGCAAGAACTCACTAATGGGAAATAGGAAGGAGGAAGCGGTGGTTGGAGCTTTGTAAGCCAGAAGAGAAAATGGTGCAAGAGGGCAGGTGTGAGTCAAACCACACAGGGTTTAGGAGCTGTGTAAGGTAAAGAATTTGCAGAGACTGCAGAGGCCATGGTTAATTGCCTGGGCTTGCATTTGAACCCTAACTCCACTTAATACTAGCTAGAAGATCTTTCTAAGGAGTGAGTCTATAGCATGCATCATGTTTGAAGGAAACCCAGAAAAGGTAAATGACCATCCATCTTACCACATTGTACCTCAAAAATGCTTCTAATTCTCAGCAGCCCATTTTAATGCTGATAGCCCCTAATTAGTGTTGATTTTCAAGGCAGAAAGTTTAGAAGTAGTACAACAAAATGAAGTCAGTAGGTAATAAAAACAATAATATCTCAAGATAGTCAAATGTTTTGGTGTCAATCACCAATGTGAATTTTAGAGGACTTCTTTTTTTTAAGAAAAATTGAATTTATTTTATTTTCTTCAAAGTGATAAGGGATAGGGTAACAGATTATGTCACATGGTCTTAGACATAATTAGTACCTTCAATGTGATGTTTGGAAAAGTTGCCTCATACTAAAGTATAAAATACTTGAATATTTGAATATAGAAACATTCAAGATTGATATGACAAACACATGCACTCACTACCCAGCTTTGTCAATTATGGCTGCTATTTTGACATGTTTACTTCAGTTTTTTTTTTTTTTTTTTTTTAGTTAATTAAATTATGGTTTCAATTTTGACATTTTTATTTTTTTTTTTTTTTTTTTTTTTTTAATAAGAATTACAGATGTGGTTGAAACTTCCAGTGTTCCTCTTTCTAATCTTGTTCTTCTCCCTAAGGAACCATTATTCTGGATTTGGTCTTTCTCATTGTCTTGCATTTCTTTATATTTTTGTTCTGTGTACATTTATCATTAAATAATACCTGGCATTGTTTTACATATTTTAAATTACATATTAATGATATTACTCTTTTTTTTTTTTTTGTACTGTGGATTGAACTCAGCAGGTACTTGACCACTGAGCCATATCCCCATCTCTTTTTTGTATTTTATTTAGAGACAGGATCTCACTGAGTTGCTTAGTGCCTCACGCCATTGCTGAGGCTGGCTTTGAACTTGCAATTCTCCTGTTTTAGCCTCCTGAGCCGCTGGGATTATAGACATGCGCCACTACGCCTGGCTATATTATATTATATTATATTTCTATAATACTATGTTTGATTTAGCATTATTCTCTGAGATTTATTCATGGCAATAATATGGCTGTGTATTCATTTCAACTTTTATTTGGGATTGCATTCATTACCTGAACATTTCATTCATAGATGCTTAGGTGGTTTATAATTTTTTGCCATCATAGTTGCTGCAAATGAAAATCATTTTACATATATTCTTATACATATGTGTGATAGTTTCTCTAAATATGGCTTTCAAACTCTTTATAATGTCTCACATTAATATATTTTAAATTGTGATCCAGAATAAACAAACAGTCAAACCACACAAGGTTTAGGAGCTGTGCAAGGTAAAGAATAAAGGTGGGGGTATAGCTCAGTGCACATATAACAGAAATAACAATTTTTCTTGAAATAATACTTATCCCTATTACAAGTGATATTACTCTGTAATATTTTCTAGTCTGTTCTGTTTTATTCTATTTTAGTGGGGGGAAAAACTGCTCACAAGCCACCAAATGGTCATAATCTACAATTTTAAAAATACTACTTGAGGGTATACGCAGGAGGGGAGCTAGAGGGCCAAAGATAGGCACATTTTTAACTTTACTAAATATTGTCTTTCCAAATCAGTGTATTAACTTAAATTTTCATAAACCGTGGTAGAGCAAAAATGGGAACTTTAGCAATTTAAGAGCTGACAGGCTGTGGTTTTGCATGCTGACACTCTGCAGCTCTGCTTACTGACATTTAACCCATAGGGGCTTATAGCCGCTAACCAGGTACCTTACAGATAACAGCAGTAGTGGAAGCAGGAAACAATAACAGGGACAGAACAATTCCCTTTTAGGCTTAGTGCAATAAAAGTCCCTAAACTACATGAGCTACAAGTCCCTGGGCTGTTGACAAGCTTCATCCATATAAGAAATGAAGAATGCACCCTCCAAGAAAATGACACCAACTTTCTTGCCTGTGTGTACCCAAAACTTGCTTATGCATAAAAGTTAAAACCCTACTTTGATCAGGGTTCAGACTTTGGACTGTGCTGCTGCTTCCAGATCTCGGGGTCCTGACCCTTAATTCCCACTACACTAGAGTACCTGTTGATTCTCATCCTCACATTTGGTATTATTAGTCTTTTTCATTGTTCCCAATCTAGAAGGTATAAAATAATATCTTGATGTTGGTATTTTTTTAGTTTAATTTAATATAATTTTTTTTGCAGTTTTGGGGATTGAATCCAGGGCCTCAAGCTCACTTTGGCACCTTTTCTACCACAGAGCTGTGTCCTCAGTCTTCAGTGTTGGTTTAATTTGCATTTCTCCAAGATAGAGTCTGTTTTTCCACACAGACAATTAGCACCATATTTTTGATAGTCTATTCTTTTCTTACCCATCTGCTCATATGGTAGAATGTTTATGAACTTTTCAATTCATTTTTATTGGCTTGTCATTCCCTGAGCCAGTTCTACACTTAATAACTATAGCTTTATAGTGACTATTTAATTATAGTTATTATTTAATATGTGATAGAATGAGTGTCCTCTCTTCTTAATATCTTTTAAATTGCCTATTCTTGGCCATTGTACTTCCATTTAAATAATAGATTCAATTATCAAGTTCCCCAGAAGCCCTTACTGGGATTTTCATTTGAATTGTGTTGAATTTATAGATTGATCAAATTAAGCAATTTTATTCATAATAGCATAAAACTGGAAATAGCCCAAGTGCCATGGATTAATTAAACTAGTTTATTCTTACACTGGAATACTACTCAACAAGCAAAAAGGAACAAATGACTGAATAGATGAATTCTAAAAACATTTTTCTAAGTAAAAGAACTTTACTAAAGAGGTATATGTTGTATAATTCTGTTTATTGAAGTTCTAGAATAAGTAACACCAAAGTAGCGTGAAAAAAATCAGAAAATAGTAGTACCTTTGGGAGGATTAGAAAGGGGCATGAAATAACCTTTTTTATTTATATATACACACACTATATACTTGAGTTTGTGTGTTTCATTATATGTAGATTTTACCTCATGAAAAAAATGCAAACAAATATTGAACTGTAGCTAATGATATGCCTGCTGAAGTATTTAGGGCTATCATTGACATTTGCATTTTATTTTGAAATGCCTTAAAAGAATTTGGATTGGTGAGTGGATAAATGTATGTAGTGAAATGTTAAAATTCTTTTAACTTTGCTTAATGTGTGGAAGTATTCATGATAAAATGTTGGATTCCTATAACTCAATAGAAAAATGAAGAAGCTGATTTAAAAATGGGCAAAGGACTTGAATAAATGTTTCTCTAAAGAGTTAAATAGATGGCCAACAGCTATATGAAACGATGCTTAACATCGTAGAACATCAAGAGATGCAAATCAAAACCACAATAAAGTAGCACCACACACTTGTTAGGATGGCTGTTATCAAAAATATGAAAGATAACTAATTTTGACAAGGTTACAGAGTAATTGGAACCCTTTTTTGGAGTTTCCTCAAAAAATTCAAAATAGAAACTGTTGGATATTTACCCAAAAGATTTTAAATCAGGATCCCAAAGAGGTATCCCACGTTCATTGATGCCTTGTACACAATAACCATGATGTGAGAACAATCTACATGTCCAGTGATGGATGAATGACTAAAGAAGATACAGCATATATGTACACAAAATGGAATATTCAGCCATACAAAATGAAGGAAATCCTGCTGTGTGACGATGTGGATGCATCTTGAGGACATTTTGCTAATTGAAATAAGCCAGTCACAAAAGGACAAATACTGCATGATTCTACTTATGAAGTATCTGAATAATCAGACTCGTAAAAGCGGAGAGTAGGATGGTGGGACTAAGGGGAAGGAGATCTGGGGAGTTTATGTTCAGCAGAGTTTCAGGGCTGAAGGATGTAGCCTAGTGGTAGTTTTTGCTTAGGGTGTGCAAGGCCTTAGGTTTGATCGTTAGCACCACACATGTGCATGCATGCATACACACAAAGATAGCTTCACTTGTGCAAGAGGAATAAGTTCTTGATATCTGCTTGTACAAAATTATGCTTATAGTTAATTAATATTGTACATACTTAAAAGTTTTGTTAAGGTAGATTTCAGTAATTTAAGTATGCTTACTATAATTTTGTAAAATAAAACATTGGGAAAGAATGCATCAATAAGATTTCTTTCTGTACCAACTGAAAGAAAGCAGTCAAATATTTTCAACTTGCTTTTGGGAATCAAGTTTGGCTGATTAGGCTACTAAACAACATGCACAGAAGCTCATCTGGGTTTTCCTGAAAGCTTATTTTAATTCAGTCACTTAGAATATACATGCTGGTATCATTGTGAGCAATTCAATTTAGATTTATTTAACCCTTTAGAGGGTTCACTAATTAGGATAAAGGTAGAACACCTTTTTAAAAAGAAAAAGAAATGTATTTGACATATTGAGAGTGCAGGTATCAGAGACTCTCATTGTTCATTAGGGTTACCTTTCATCCACCCTGCAAAAAACACACACACACAAAATACATGAGTTTTAGGGCAAGCCAGACCAGATTTTATTCTGATTTCCTCCTTAGAGCAGGGAAGTTTTCATCTCTTTTCTGCCAGGATGCTTTCATCAACTTGACCTAATGGCCAACATCTCCCCTTTTTGGCAAAATTCCCAGAGATAACAAGAAAAGTTTTCATTTAAGATGGTATTCTTTTACATATTCTTCTTATAGGTGATGTTGTTGCAGTTTCAGGTGTGAGTGTTTTCTCTTGTACCTTAACTTGGCTGAGTGTTATAGTAATGGGAGAGGGCACAGGAATGCAAATGAAAGTAATTTGTCTCGGTTTTGACAAACCTTCATCTTAATGCCACAGTTTGTCCTAGCACCTCTGAGAATATTGCCATTACAGACCAGGCATGCTGGCAAAACAGCTTTATACAAACTTCAAGCTGGTGTGTGGTGAGGAGGTATAAGTTATTTGTGCTGTAAAAAGATTCATTGTAAGTTTTACTAGTAAATCACAGTATGATTCATGTTAAACAATAGTGAAGTATATTGTTAGTATCAGAAACATTCCATTTTCCCTGACAATATATTAGGAAAGAAATGCTAAGTTTTTTGTGTATCTTTAATTGCTTTCTGTTTTATACAGTTGCAGGCTTCAATCTCAGCACATACTTACTATTTCAGGTCCTGTGGGAATGGCTGCTGCTGCTGCTGTGGCAACAGGGAAGAAACGGAAACGGCCTCATGTGTTTGAGTCTAATCCATCTATCCGGAAGAGACAGCAAACACGTTTGCTTCGGTGAGGGATCCCTTATCCCTATTATAACCCTCCCTCAAATGCTTCATGAATAGATGACAGGGTTCCTCAAGGACATCAAGAGTCCTTAATGACAGATTTACTCTAAAGTAGTATTATAAAATTAAAGAAATGAAAATCTAGAAATATGATTTAAAAGATGTGTTATATTCCATTAATTCATTCAGAGAAAATTTGTATGCTTTCTATGTGCCAGGCATTATTCTAGGCATTGAGAATATATCAGGGAACAAAAAATTCCCTTAAAGAGCTTATATTCTGATAGAGGGGGAAAGAAGAGAAACAAATCATGTCAGATTGATTATAAATGTAGTGGAAAAAAATAAAGTGGAGTAAGGAAAATTACTGTAAGAAAGGAGGTGGGGAGAAATAGTAGTTTTTCTCTTATAGGGATGGTCTGAGAAATCTTTTTGATAAGTCAACCTTTGAACAGAGACCTGAAGGAACTGAAAGAGCAACCATGTTGAAGTACAGGGGAAGAGCATTTCGGGCAGAAGGAATATCAAGATCCAAGGCTCTGAGGTGGGGACTCGCAGTCATGTTGAGGGACAGTTGGTGAGAACAAGAGAGGAGAGATGGTAGCATGCTGGAGTAGAGCCCAATCATGAGGTCTTACCTTCTTATATCAGTGTTTTAACTCTTATAGTCTTAAAACCAGTGTTGTAAGTTGGGCACAGTAGCACACATCTGTAATCCCAGAGACTATGGAGGTTGAGGCAGGAGAAGCACAAGTTTGAGGCCAGCCTCAGCAGCTTAGTTAGACACTGTCTCAAAATTTTAAAAAAAAATTTAAAAAGGGCTGGAGACGTAGCTCAGTGGTAGAGAATCCCTGGGTTCAATGCCCATTACAACAACAAACAAACAAAACAGACAACCCAATATCAGAGCAGCAGAGGTAGTAAGAAGTGGTCAGGTTCTGGATGTATTTCAGAAGTCAACTCAGCATGATTCCTTGATGGATTGGATGTGGAGAATGAGAGAGAAAAAGAAGTGAAGAGTAACCTCAAGATTTTTGGTTTGATTACTGGAACCAATAGAGATGGCATTTGCTGGAGGAGGAGCAGGTATGGGAGTGAAGGCAGGGCAGAATCAGTCCTTTTGATTTGTTAAGTTTGTATATCTCTTAACCATTCAATGGTGATACAGAAGAAGCAATTGGATATATGAGTCTGGAATTTAAAAGAGAGTTCTTGACTGAGCATTATATACATATAGATAGTGTTTAAAACACAGAGACTAGGAGTTGTGTGTACCGAGACCTGACCCACTCTACCCTTTTAAGATTGTAGAGATAAAAGGAAGCATCAAAGAAGTCTTAAGAAGCAACCAGCAAGTCAGGAGAAAAAAACCAAAGAGTGGTATCCCAAAAGCCAAGTTCAAAAAGTGTTTCAAAAGAATAACCTATGTCAACCCTGTCAAATGTGATTGAATAAGATGCAAATTGACCATTAGATTGATCAGCATAGACCTCATGATTAAATTTGTTGACTGTTTTTCATAGGAATGAGGGTAAAAGGATTGGGGAGAACAGAAAGATAGGAATTGAATACAGTGAATATAAGGAATCAAGGAATGCTGCCAGATTTCTTGCTGAGTATGTGGTCTTTGCTTACTAGTACATTGAAAGGGTAGACTAGAACCCAGAAGAATTATGAAATGTAGGACTTTAGAATAATCTGTCCAGGCTTCTATTTCATCCATTGTTGCTATACTGTAGTCTTATCTGCGGGTTTATTTTCTAAGGTTTGTTACCTGTTGTCAACCGTGGTCCAAAAGATAGTAAGTGGAAAATTCCAGAATAAATAATCGATGAGTTGGAAATAACTTTTACTTTATAGTGTATTTTTATAATTGTTTTATTTTATGATGACCGTTGTTAATCTCTTAATTGTGCCTAATTTATAAACTTTATCATAGGTAAGTATGTATTAAAAAAATATATTTAAAAACTATATATATATATATATATATATGTGTGTGTGATTTGATACTATCTGATGTTTTAGGCATCCAGTGGGGGTTCTGGAACATATCCCCCACAGAGAAGGGAGGAATACTATATTTGTAAAGAGAAGGAGGGGGAACTATTATATTTGTAAAAGTTCTTACTCCATCAAGTTGTAAATTCTGGAAAGCAGTCCTCTGCCTCAGGCTCCTGATGCTGATACTAAATGCATGTGCCAACTCACCCACCTTGAGTATTTTTATTTTATAACTATAGTTAATTTTCTAAAAATAGTATTTTGCCTTTCCATACATATACAACATCAACTACTCTTTCTGTGGTCTTTAATCATTAATAGAATAATAATCTGACAGGATTTAAATTACATTTGTTTCTGTGACCCTAGAATTAAGATGCATAAGAGTTATTGTTTATATCACAATGGAAATCTGACACTACAATGTTTTTTAAATAGTATTTTTGGATAAAATTATGTCTGTGAGAAATAAAAAATGACTGTCAATAAAAGAAATTAGAAGCAAGTCATTTAAACCCCTTCATTAAGCATAGACATGATAATAACGTTTGTAAGAGGAGATCTCAGCCATAATCCTTGAAAGTAGCAATAGATGGTGTTGGTTAAGATTAGGAAGACTACTGCTGTGTTCAAAATCATCCAAGGCAGGGGCTGGGGATGTGACTCAAGTGGTAGTGCTCTCGCCTGGCATGCGCAGGGAGCTGGGTTCGATCCTCAGCACCACATAAAAATAAAATAAAGGTGTTGTGTCCACCGAAAACTAAAAAATAAATATTTAAAAAAATTCTCTCCCTCCCTCCCTCTCTCTCTCTCTCTTAAAAAAAAATCATCCAAGGCAAAATTTTTGTATCACCGGGCTCATTTTTGTTCTTTAGGAGAATGGTCTAAAGAGGCTGTCACACCTCACACTCCTTTTTTCACATTTAGGTAAAACAATGAATATCTGATCAGAATTACTTACCAAGTAAGTTTGATTTTTCTTTGTGTCACTATAATTTCTTTTCTTTAACTGCTTTTGTTCTCTTTTCATTCTGATTCAGGAAACTTCGAGCCACATTAGATGAATATACAACTCGAGTGGGACAGCAAGCTATTGTCCTTTGTATCTCACCCTCCAAACCCAACCCCGTTTTTAAAGTGTTTGGTGCAGCACCTTTGGAGAATGTGGTAAGTCAGAACTAAGCTGTGTGCTCAGATGCCCTTTGCTTTGTGTGGGTGTTGTCTTTTGATCTTCTTTCCAGTACAATAGTTAGCACTTCTGTATTCTTCTCCTCTAGGGATAGAAGATGGGAACCGGTTTTCAAACCTTTTAATGCAGATTAAAACAAAAAGGATTATTAGTGTTTCTACTTTCTATAACAAGGTATTTTATCTCGTCAGATGCAATAGGAGAAAGATAATGTTTTGTTTATTAAGAAGCCAATGCAAGACTTTGTAAGAAAATGAGTGATTTATGTCTGAAACAAATGCTAGATAGTTCTAAGGTGTCAACTTTTTAAGGAAAACCTGGGAGGTTTTTTTTTTTGACCAGAGATTGAACTTGGGGGCACTGGACCACTGAGCCACATTCCCAGCCCTTTTTTGTATTTTAATTAGCGATAGGGTCTCATTAAGTAGCTTAGCAACTTGCTTTTTGCTGAGGCTGGCTTTGAACTCATGATCCTCCTGCCTCAGCCTCACAAGCTGATGGGATTACAGGTGTGTCCGGCCAGGAGCATTTTATTGACCAGATAACTGAGTTATATTTTTGCATTTCTTCAAAGAATTAATTTAATACTCTGCTTCAATTGAGAAATACATTTGAAAAATATGTTGCTCAGGCTGGTCTCAAACTTGTGGCCTCAAGCAGTCCTCTGCCTCAGGCTCCTGAGGCTGATACTAAATGCATGTGCCAACTCACCCACCTTGAGTATTTTTATTTTATAACTATCGTTAATTTTCTAAAAATAATATTTTGCCTTTCCATACATATACAACATCAACTACTCTTTCTGTGGTCTTTAATCATTAATAGAATAATAATCTGACAGGATTTAAATTACATTTGTTTCTGTGAACCTAGAATTAAGATGCATATTAGGACTTTTCCTTAGAAGAATATGATAGAAGCCATCTAGTTCAAATGATGCCTGACAAGCATTCCTTACCATCACACTTTTAATAAATAAGAAATTTGGACATGGCTTTTCCTCTTCAGTATTTAAAATCTTAAACAGTGCTACTACTAATAAAAGTGATAATGTGATCTATGAAAAAGACTCATCTGGAAGACCCAGAACAACATTTCTGAAAATTAGTCACTGAAAAATCTAAAAAAAAAGTTTTGGGAAATTGTTGGCCTCCTCCATAGAATGCAAAAAGATACTGTCTCTATAAACAAGATGGACCAGACTAAGATTAAAAAGCAGTGTTTGATAAAATATAGGTTAAAAATGCAAATACCAGCAAAATTAGAAGCAATATGCAGGAATTAATAAAATGTGGTTTATCTATGTATCTAGTTTTCCAGACATCTAAAGAAAATTAAAAACAAAAAGCCAAGTCAGTATGCAAAAGATAGAGAACAAGGGAAGAAATTTAAAACAAGAAAGACAAAAACACAAAATATAGAGCAAGGTAATATTAGCAAGGCCAACTAATTCTGTTTTAAGCCATAAATATGAGTGGTTTAAACTGCTTTGTTAAAAACAAAGATTTTCCTTCAGATTAGAACAACAATCCAAATCAAAACTGTAATCAATTTATATGAAATGTTTATAGCCAATCAAAAATATCAAAAGTAGCTGCAAATGATACTACCAATGATTATACCAAGAAAGTATAATCATTAGTTATTAGGGAAATGTCAGAATCACAATGAAATAACACTTTATACCCACTAGGATAAGAGTAAACAATAATGAGTGATGGTGAGGATATGGAGAAACTGGTGAAAATGTAAAATGGCACAATTGCTCTAGAAGTCAGTTTCACAGTTTCTCAAAATGTTAAAAGCAGACTTATCATGTGCTCTAGAAATTCTCCTCCTAAATTATACCCAAGAGAACTGAAAATATGTTCATAAACAAGCTTGTATACAATCTTCATTATTTATAGTAGCCGAAAAGTGGTAACAACACAAATATTTACCAACTGATGAATAGATAAATAAAATTGGTATATCTATACAGTGGAATATAGAAGTGGATATGTTGGTGGAAGCCAAGAGGTTGGGTATCTACAGGGAAGGGGTCAGGAACCAGGGAATATAAGCTAGGCAAAAGCTAAATAAGGCAAAGAAATGGAGGCTCCAGCCTGCTGACAACCTTGACTTTATCCCAGAGGAACCAAGAAAATCAATTTGTGATTTTAAGCCATTAAGTTTGTGGTAGCCATAGAAAACAAATATGTATGGTGTGAATTATATCTTAATAAAGCTGTTTTAAATGTTAAAAGTAAAACCAGGCAAAAATGTGTCAGACAAACATCTATAAATCATGGCTGGGTGTGGTGGCTCATGCCTGTAATCCCAATGGCTAAGAGAGGCTGAGGCAAGAGGATCGCAAATTCAAAGCCAGCCTCAGAAACTTAGCAAGGCCTTAAGCAACTCAGTGAGACTCTGTCTCTAAATGAAATACAAAAAAAGGGCTGAGGATGTGGCTCAGTGGTTGAACACCCCTGGATTCAATCCCTGGAACCAAAAACAAACAAATAAACAGATAAATAAATAAATCATGGATCACGGTACTAATAGCAGACGAAGCCAGATTCTCAAGGCAAAAATGTATTAACTGAGAACCAGAGGTTATTTAGTATTGATAAACAGTATAAAATTATAATGAACTTTTTATTTTTATGCCTCAAGTACCATTAGAGCAAAACAAGTAAATCAAAAAGTTAAAAATGTAATAAATGAAAAAAGGGAGAATTCCAAAAATGGTAGTAAGAGCTTTTATTATCTTTGCCAGAACAAAGACACAAAATATAAATGAGAATATAAAAATTAGAACAATGGAACTGGTAAGGTTGTTATATAAGAATAAACAAACACATGGAAGAAATTAACAAGTTAACAAACAGAAAAAAGTATAAGAGGGAGACAAAAGGAAATTGATGTAGAAATTCAAGAATTGGTTCTGTGAAAGGTCTAATAAGATAGAAAAACTTCTTGTATATTAAGGAAGAAAAAGGGAGAAGAAAAATTTGCAGCCTTAGAGATGAGATATAGACAGTTAATACAGGCAGCCCCCAACTTCAGATGGTTGGTTTTACCAATTTTTTGGCTTTACTAATGGTGCAAAAACATATACAACCATTCTCTGTCTTTTAAACACTATTCAGCTTATGATGGGCTTATTAGAATGTAACTTCATTGTTAAGTCAAGGAACTTAAATCAGTAAACTTAATAAATACTGATAAGAAAAAAAGGAAGTTATAAGAAATATACAGTAAGGACATTCTATATATATATATATTAATCCTGTTCTTTAAAAAAAAATTTTGTAGTTATAAATGGACAGAATGCCTTTATTTTATTTGTTTATTTTTATGTGGTACTAAGGATCAAACCTAGTGCCTCACACAAGCTAGGCAAGTGCTCTGCCACTGAGCTACAGCCCCAGTCCTTAATCCTGTTCTTATAAATTAAAAACTCCAGCTAAGCAGCAAAATGTGATAAGAAAAAATAGCCAAAACATATCCAAACCTCAGCAGAATAATAAAAATATTAACTGAAACTTCAATAGAGCAATAAACATATAAAATTGGAAAAGTAACTAAAGAACTATATTCCTCAAAGAACTACTAGGCCCTAATTATTTTGGTTGACTTTTTGTTAAACCTTTTTTTTGTTGTTGTTTTGTTTTGGTAGCAGGAATTGAACCCAGAGGTACTTGACCACTGAGCCACATCCCCAGCCCTTTTTATTTGGAGACAGGGTCTTGCTAAATTGCTTAGGGCCTCACTAAGTTGCTGAGGCTGGCCTCAAACATGCAATTCTTCTGTCTCAGCCTCTTTTTTTTTAAATTCTTTTTTTTAGTTGTCAATAAATCTTTTGTTTTATTTATTTATATGTGGTGCTGAGTATCAAACCCAGGGCCTCACACATGCCAGGCAAGTATTTTACCACTGAGCCACAATTTCAGCCCTGCCTCAGCCTCATGAGTCACTGGGATTACAGGTGTGCTGCATCACCTCAGAAGATTTCTGTTAAACTATTAAGTTATGAGTAATTCTCTGCTATGTTCAGTGGTCCTGGTATTCCCAATGGTGTTAAAAAACTAGAGCCCATTATTTACTGTAATCAATTATGCAGCATATTTTATCACATAATTTCACATTAATAATAGTTAAAAGAAATTATTTAGATTTTAGGTCTTATAATATTAATAGCTAGCAATTATAGAGTGCTTACTGTGTTCAAAGTATAATTATAAACACTTTGTGTTATTCATTTAATAATTTGAAAACTGGGTTGTTTGCATTTTGTTCCTCTGCCTAAACTCATCATAAATTTTTCTTTTGCTCTTCTAGCTGGAGGCTAATCAAAGTTATAGAAAAATTAAAATGCAATAGACCTGTTTATTTTTGGAATATAGACTTCAGATTCAAAACTGCTTTTTTTTTTTTTTTAATACTTTTTTTTTTTTTTGGTGTAGATGGACACAACACAATACCTTTATTTTTATGTGGTGCTGAGGATCGAACCCAGGCCCTGCCCATGCTAGGCGAGCGCTCTACCGCTGAGCCACAATCCCAGCCCCTCGAGACTGCTTTAAGTATTTGTTAAGAAGAGATTGAAAGATGTACTAAGCCTTATAATAATATTGGATTTTTTTTAAAAAAATTTTTTGTAGTTGTAGATGGATACATTACCTTTATTTTATTGATCTTTATGTGGTGCTGAGGATCAAACCCAGGGCCTCACATGTGCTAGGCAAGTGCTGTATCACTGAGCTGCAACCCCAGCCCAATAGTATTGGATTTTTAAAATTTCTTTTCTAGAGTGTTATTTGTTTCTACATATTGTACTTTGCCCATATTACCTCCTTGCCCACAGTTGGAGTGTGTATTAAGCCACTGGGAACAAAATTAAATGGCTTACAACAACTGAAAAAAAAATTTTTTTTTTTTTTAATAATAACAGCGGGGCTGGGGTTGAGGCTCAGTGCTTGCCTAGCATATGCGA